CAAAAGCATGAACAAAAAATGTTTCCTCGTAGAAACATGTGTTATTACTATGAATTCTACATTTTTTTTTCTCTCCTTCAATTCGTCCCCACTTCCCAAAATGATTTTTGTTCCACGATCTTACTCATCGTCATCATCATCATCTCTATTAAATAGGATAGGATGTAGAAAAGTTGGTGAGCGAGTGAGTGAGTAAGTAAGTAGCTACCGGGCTTGAAGTGCGCCGTCATCTTCGGATAGTAAATCATTAAACAGCATGACTTGTCACCTTAATGCCAACACACAGCCACCTTTTCTTTTCACTCCTTCTGCTCGTCCTTTTATCTTTTCAGCTCGTGTTCTTTTTTTATTTATTCATTTTCGGTTTCCTCATCTCCTGCTGCTCTCCGACATCATCATCATCATCATCGCCGCAGTCGTCGCCGAGACTCATATCTACCTGATATATCTTTCCCATACACACGCTGATGTGTACATTTTTTTTGGCTTTGTTTTTATTATTATTATTATTTCAATTCTTTTGGCGGTTGTGTCTTTTTTTTTGTATTCATTTTTTGGCAAAGCGTTGAAAGCAACACCTTTTGTTTTTACAGCATACTAATCATCTACGATCATCTTTATCTTTGTAGAGAATTTTGGAACTTTTGTGCACATTGTGTCCGAGGGTTAAAATAAATATGTAATGGAGAGGGTTGAAGGATGAAGAAGTAATTTATTTACGAGGTTGTAAAAGGTGTTAAAAATTGAAGAGAGCGGAGAGTCAAGTGGACGTGAAATGTGCGAGAAGGCCGTAAACCGACGACCAGTCGACCCGTTGCGTTTCTGGTTCTTCTTTTCGTTATCCTTTACTGATTTGCGGTCGGTTATTAGGGCCGGTAATTGCGACGCAATATAATTGTTACGTTTCGTTTCCTTTTTTTTCTCTTCTTTCTTTCTTGATCTTCTTCTTCCCACTTTCATCCTTCGTGTTTTGATAAGAATGTTGTCGAATGTTTTCGACGAGGATGAAAGCGCGGAAAGGAATGGACTGGAAAGGAAAGGAGGTGAGGTGGATTTTGTAGCTTTGTGTGTCTACCTGAGGAAGAGCGACTCGGCGCCACCGGAACACACCTCTTCCCTTTTGAACTCAAACCGACACTTTACTTCTCCTTTTTTAGTTCTCCTGCCCGAATTGACGGACCACAGTAGAGGGGAAAAGAAATAATAAAAAAAAATATATACATGCAAAGACCATAGAAAAATATGTGAATAGATATTGCTTTTCAACATTATATAATTTATTTATAAATATTGATTAATCATATACTTTATTAAAGTAAGCAAATAAACATCTATATATATCACTTTCATCACAATTTGACTTTAAACTTTCTGAATGATTTATTATGAAACATTTGTTAGAAAATCTTTATTATTATAAGAAAAATTATAATACTTACTTCAATTCTCAATGGATTTCTGTCAATCACAAAATTATCATACAAAAAATACATTATTCCACGACATAAAGAATTATTGAATCTTAGATTAATTTCATATTTTAATTTGCATATATATTTTAATAATAATAATATTTATTGAAACAGTAAAGTTAACAAATAAAAACTCAATACAATAATATAAATGTCATAAATCAAAATGTCAACAGCTTCAAAGGGCTATTTTGATCATAGGTCTTTCTTTCTGCCCGGATATATTTTAATTTATGTTTATTATTTTACACATAAGGACAGAAATGTATGAACTAAAATAATAATTATGAATATCATATAAATTAATTATTATTAATAGATGTTTTTTTTATAAATGATTTCATTCTTGTATTGTAATATATATTATTTACATATGAGATTATTATTTAAAACACTGCAGATTCTCCTATTTGTTAATTTAAAAAAAATGTTTTGCAGAAATCAATTAATTTCAAGTATATTTTGGTAGATTTAACCAAAATATTTTTATTCTCAGAAGATTATCTCTAATGTTATTTTTTGTTATAGTATATAATTTTGGTCATAAGTACTACAGCCGAAACCCATTAGCTTAATTACAATTAAGAAATTCGATATTATTACGTATGTATATAGGAAGGATATATAGAAAACTAAGTATGTAATGTACTTCCATTAATCAAATACCTTTTCTTATTTAATAAAATTTCATAAGACAGAAAAAAGTAATCTAAAATAGATTTCCGGATTTATATGAATATTATACAAAAAAAAACAGAACATTTCGATAACATCTATTGTTATCATAAAAAACGAGTTTAATCGGATTCAAAATTTCCGGATTTTTACTCGTATAGTGAAACATATTCAAAAATACACATAATATGTGTACACAAGTTTTAAAAATGATGTAGAAGGCGCGCAATCTGGGACTTCTCTTCTCATCGTCATTCTTTATGCGAAACTTCACTCGTTAAGCGAGTCATCTTTCTTACAATCCATTTTGCTTGTTAAGCGAAATGCTCGTTATGCGAGGATCCACTGTATTACACAAATAATCAAGATCATAGATAAAAAAATGATTTTCTTAAAGAATATTAATTGTACCGTAGACCGAAATTAAAGATCCAATAAATTAAAAATATAATGAAGAATATTTGATTATAACCTTATATAATATTATGCGTTCTTATATAAGGCATTATATTAATTGGTTTCATTAATTCAATGTAAACGAAACAAATTAGTACGGTTAATTTTATTTTTCATATGTTACATCACCTATACCGACTCGATAACAGCCAATTAAATTCACGTTTAAGTATGTGCATTTCCATGACGACGTCGAAGCGCGAGAGTTGCGTTCTGTCCGCCGATCTACGAACATCTGCGGCTTTTCGCGCGAGCCTCGAATTTCACTGCCATAATTACGATAATTATTGCATAAGCACTTCCTCCCTTCATTTCTCTCTCTCTCTATCTCTCTCTCTCTCTCTCTCTCTATTACACTATAAAAAAATACTAATTCCAATAGATTCCATTGCATATCTCAAAGAACATTAATTGATAGATTGTTTGATCCTAATAGAAGTTGTATCTATTCGAACTTTCCGTAGAAAATATACGGTGAAAAATTATAGATAAACAAAATTTTATTTTGTCTTAAGATTTTAACTTATTTATTTCTTTCATATACTAACAAATAGTTTTTATGAAAGAAATATATTAAAGGGCATGAAATTTAATTTCTTATAGTTTGTATTTAATAAATTATTATATTCCATTATTTTTTTGTTAATTTTATCAGTATTGTATATATTTTAAGTTGAATTGTATCAAATTTCAATACAAGACAAATATAGTATAATTTATTTAGTAATAAGTATACAGATTATAGATCTATGAAAAACATAAATTCATGATTAATATATTGTAAAAAATAGCAATTTATACTTTGATTCTAAGTATTTTTGTTTGCTTATCAGCACAGAGAGATCTACTAAATCCAATAAGTTTACACTCAGTGAACCCATTTTGCGGGATTAGCAATGGATATCGGCTGATGTAAAGAAAAAAAGACGGAAACGTTTAAAGGTATTTTGGCGGAGTGATGTACAGTAAATAGCCGAAGAAAAGACAGAAGTTGTGACGAGATGAGATTAGAATCAGTTGTTGCGGCTTGTTTACACTAAACGGGGGTCGTTAAAGCAGCGGGAGGGAATCACCGAAAAAGGGAGACATAGAAGAACTAGGACCCCCGACCGCCTTTGTCGCAATTTCACTCTGAGCGTCCGAAAAAAAAAGACCATTCGAAAAGCACCATCGGAACATTAATTAGATTTAAGAAATCATCGATGCATTCATTAAATCTTTTTTTATTTACTTATTAATGAATACAACTGAAATGACTTTCATAAAATTTACATAGTTATTATTTGGTATTTTTGAGCACAATGTATTGTCATGATAAATGTTTTATTTTTGCTATAAAAAGCGTCGTTGACAGCGAGAAGCACATCCGATTCCTTAAAAGGGAGCATAATTAAAGGAAACCTTACACTGCAATTAAAGTATTAACCTTATTATTTAATTGAATGAACTGAATGAAATGTTGTATAATTTAAATTATCCAATTGTAATTTTAAAGCAATCTTGGCAAATTTACTAATTATGTTGTATTGCTTTTTAAATATTAAATATCATCGAATACAGATAACACAAAAATTAAAAATATTTGTAACTTAATCAATTAAATAAATTATCTGAAATATATTTGTATGAGAGATTCTTGAAATAAAGATTAATTTAAAATATCGAGTGTCATAATAATAATAATATAATTTTAACATATTTAATATTCTTTAATGTGAACTTGTGATAAATATTGAAGACAATGATTTACAGTGTAATTTTAATAGCATATAAAAGAAAATATTATTGTTTAAATATAGTTTATTTAGTTATATTATAAGTTTTATATCAGTGATTTAAAATTTGTGAATGGGATATGGATTGTGAAACGTAGAAAGAACGTTTTTATAGATTACCTTAACTTATAAGCATATACATTTAAGTAATTTTAATTACACATTGAAACACCACGAAATAATAAGCACTTCTTAACAGTAAGCAAATCGATACGGGTCCGACGCTTGATTATATTAAACAAATAACAATCAATTCACTTGTTTGGTTAGTTGCAATCGAAGGCAATGTGAAAGAAAACAAATAACAAATAAATGAATTGAAGTAAGAAGAGAAGGAGCAAATTCGGAGTGTATTTTGTGTGACGGTGAGTTTTTGTGCTTTTTGGCGCACCGTCAAACGGCCGATCGCAAAGTGAAGCGCCGGAAAGTCTGCGTGGGCGTGTCGCAGGTCCGACCACGCCCAGACAGCGCCCGATCCCCCGACGGAAACCGGTCTCCGAATGATCCATCGGCCAATGGCGCTGCAGGTGGGCGGGGCGAGTGCGTGGCACCGCTGAACGCTAGCGCTATCTACCAACAGAATTCGTAAACGGATCCCCAAGCCAACTATTATATGATTATTCTTCATTATAGTGCCTACACTCGTAGGAAGTAGATGGTTGAGTCGAACAGAGCAATTTTCTACGTGACGAAAAAAAAGTGAGAGAAAGAAGGAAAAAAAGAAAGGGGGAAAAACGACATATGTACTCACTCAATTTCGCGTAATTTGTTTTCGGGCTTAATCTTCGAATGGTTTTTACGCAATTACGGTGTGAATTACACGTATTATAGAGCGGCGGCGGCAAATTGCTTGATTAAACCCTCATTAAACCGAATCGAAAAGGAAAGGGAGGACCGAAAATCGGTGGAAAAGGTTTTCGGGGAAATCGAAGTGCGCGTGGAAGTGCAACCCAAGTGATTTAAACAATGATAGTTTGATTTCCAATTGTTATTGCATTCGTTTTTTTCGCTCGACGGCGAGAGAAAAGAAATAGAGAAAGAGATTTTCTTTGGATTTCCAGTGATAAATATTTTTTTAAATTTATTCAATTTATTATCTTGTTGTTTGAGATATAATCATTTGGTGCATCTGAATATTTTGTTGTTGGTGCTTTGGTGGAGATAACTTAAATTCGTCCAAAGTGGATATCAAACCTTTCACGACGTTGAACTTCACGGATCTGGGGTCCCCATTTGGGGGTCCTAACGAGGAGCCGCCGGGTACGCCGTCAATGTCGGGAGAGGCACACATCGGACCGCCGACGCCACACGATGGGGGCGGCGGGACTTCGGTGACGCCGGTTTCGAAGAGTGCCTTCATCGAACTCCAGCAGCATGGATACAACCCCCTTCGGACGCCCTATCAGCATCACTTCAACTCGCCGGCGGCTGCAGCAGCCGCGGCAGCAGCCAACGCTCACGGGGGCGGCGGTCCGGTCTCCGCTCACGACGGCGGCTTTCCAAGCCCAAGGGGCGCCCTCGGTGCTTACCCTTTTCCTCCGATGCACCAGAATTCGTACCCCGGCTACCATCTCGGATCGTACGCCTCCAACTGCCCCCCATCACCCAAAGACGACGGTAAATATTATATGAAATTCCAAATAGCCTAAAATCAAACAAATCACTATTGAAAGTCTTCCAAAATTGCTAAAAAATCGGATACCTTTTCGGAACCTTTTTTCATTCAGCGAAGTGCGCGCGTGTTCTGTGCATGTGTATATGTTTTTGTTACGGAGTAATTAAAAACAAAAGGCGGCCGCGCCAATCAACGAGCTCGCAACCCCAATTAAAACAGCGCCAGTTAACAACACTGTTGCCGACGATTAAATTTCGCGCTTTCTGAAAAACTCGAAACTGCAGTTTCATTATAAAAACTCAGAAAAAAAGAACAATTTTTCAATCAGAATTATTAATTATTAAGCAACTTCCATAATTTAATCATACTCAACTTAGGAAACACGCAAAATGACGCTGAAAATAATTAATTATAGTCCTGAGTATCTGTAAATACATTGACATTCGTATTTGTTGTTAAAGTCAATAAAGATTTAATATATTAAAAGAAGTAAATTACATACAACAAATAAATAAAACAGATTCTAATAATTACTGATCAATTACAGTTTTAAAGTGATTTTAAAAAATATTTCATTAAACTGTTATTTCAATATTGATCTTTTGATAAGTAATAAATTTATTATATGTGATTTTATAAAACCAATATTTTATAGTTTGTTTTTAACAAATATTATTCAAACTTGCAATAATTACATTGACTGATTTGTTAAAAACAATATTATAATTCTATTTGGTAATAAATGTTAACTATTTCATTACTCTTTTATGAACACATTTATTCGGTAAAATTTCATATATTCTTGTATTACGACTCAAATGAAATAAGAATTCTAAATTTTATTTTGATATTTAAAGTTTATCTTAATCAAATATGTTTGTTTTTAAATCCTGACAAAAAAAAAGTAAGTAATAATGAGTAATATGTGAAAAATATATTTCAATAAGATAGTGCAAAGTGTTAATATGTTAAAATTCTATGCGAAAACAAGTCCTATAAATCTGTATAATTGTGTATGGGTTGGATACAATGAATATTTTTACATTTATATAACGTGCCATTATGGTTACCGTAATTAGTTGAGCTGTTTTAAAATTTGTAATGATTTGCTGGATTACATTGAAATTAATTTAAATCTTCGTAAATATACTAATAATTGTGTTAATAAAACGAAACATTTATTTTGTACGTTGATTTTGTTGAGACTCACATAAATCATATCAACATTTCAATAAAATCGCACAAGTGATGCCAGAAACTGTGCATTTCTGGTATGCTGATTTTCTCTTTTCCTTCTGAAAATACAGGTATTTCTGCATCGTACCTCGAACTAATTTATCCATGGACAATGTTGTACAAAGGGACGTCGTATTCTACGCTCCCGATTTGCTTAATTTTTGCACTTCAAACTGTCCCGTGGTTAATTTGCCTATGGACTACCTGAATCCATGCATACAAAAATGGAAATTTCACACTTTAAAAGCGCCTAAAACTGTCACAGACCTAAAACATAATGGCGGCATGTCATAAATATACAAGGTTGCAATTCAGAAGTCAAAATCAATGTTTCACATTGTTTTCATGATTTTGGCGTTTAATTTTTGCTGCTAATCAAAATTTCTTTACGTCAATTCCGTTAGGATTTATAATTATAATATTAGATTTATTTTCAAACGTATATTCATTTTATCTAAAAAAACAGTAATGTTTTCCATTATTTCCATTAAATAGAAAAAAACCTTCCTGTTGTTTTGATTATTTATAATGAAAACTGTTTATACCATATTTAAAAAAAAAACTTAGTAAATTTTAATCCTTTATATCAGGTTTTGAACATTTTACATATTATGTTTTTTTTTATGTAAACTATGTTGAGCTCTGTATTTTATTTAATCGTTAATTTTAGTATAAAATGTATGAACGTAAATTTTATTTGATCATTTGTAATAATAGTAAATTAAATTGAAGAGGCTTAGATAAATTTGTTTGAAATGTGTAGCTTAGATTGTATGTTGAATTGTAAGTTGAAAAGTACAAAAGTAATTTCGTAACAGATTTTGTTTATGTGACAGACAAATGTTTGGCTCTGGAGAGGCCGTCGGGTGGAAGCAAAGGAAAGAAGATGAGGAAGCCAAGGACGATATACTCGAGCCTCCAGCTGCAGCAATTGAATCGACGGTTTCAGAGGACACAGTACTTGGCACTGCCAGAAAGGGCCGAACTAGCAGCAAGCCTGGGCCTCACGCAAACGCAGGTCAGTCCACCAACACATCGTTTTTAATTTAATTTTTGTTTCCACTACTTCTTCATATATTTTATTTTGTAATTTAATCAGTTACCAATTAGCGGTAATTGGAAAAACGTAAAAGTCATTTTCAATTTTCCTTTCCCGTCGCAATATTGATTGCTAATTACGGAAAAGGGCCTTCTCTAATTCGCACTAAAAATCATTCTCTGTTTTCGCGGTTCGCGTCCCTCTTTCTCTACCCCTCAACCGGCAATAACTTCTTAGAAGAAACCGAGTAAAAGAACGAAAGACGGATTTAATAAACGTTAAAGGCCGTAAAACGCATACTTAACTGTTTCCCAGGCCTCCTCGCCTCTTCCTCCTTCCTTCGTCTCCACCGGGAAACAAGAAGAAACAAAAGACGGCCGCAAACGAGAAAAGAAACTCGCCGGCATTCTTACTTGCATTCAATCCGCGCGCATTTTTTTACCCTCGACAAACAAAAAAAAACAACAACAACACACATACACTAAGAGACAAAGAAAAAATGATAAATATGCAACCAGGCAGATGAATTATTTGATTATGATATTGTCACCGAAAAAAACGCAGGTTTTGAAAAATAAAATGTTAATTTTTTGATGTTAAGATGTTAAAATTCGAATCAGTTTTAAAAGCAGAGAAGAAAATGATTGGAATGTTTCGTGTTATTTTTGTTTATTGCAATTTGTTGTAATATTAAACGAAACATTGCATGTCTTGACATTATCATTACTAAGAATATTATTGTTATTATTTAGTTACACAATGCCTTTCCGTGCTAAAATATTATTATCTTAATACATTTGCCTCTTTCTTATTCCTTAGTAATACTAAATATTTTAATTCAAACAAAATGAGAATATTAAACTAATTTGGGCAGAAAGACCTCGGTCGTTAGCCCTTTGGCCAGCCTATTAATATATATATTTTTTATTTTATATTAGAATTTTAATTATTTATAGTATGTATTTTTTTTCTTTTGTATTGATGTCATTATTATTATACTATATTCTTTCTATAAAAATTAAGAAATAAATTGGACATCTATTCATCATGATTCAGTTTAGTTTTCTTCAACTTTATTATACCTGCAGACCGGCGAAAATAGCGTCCACTATCGCCAGAATCGGCAACATAATTCTTCTTACTCATTTAGTTTATTAATTATGTGTATTTTCATTCATTTATTTATCGTCTTTAATTGACGACAACAGCAATTTATACACACATTTCTTTGTAATTTTTATTATTACTAAAGCGTAATTACTTTATTAAATAAAGCTAATGATACTAAAAACTTTAATTTCATTAATTTGTACATGAAATACTTATATTTTAGTTGTTGTGAAAACCAGTAGTAGTTATTTTATTTAAAGTATCTTTGCAATTACCACTGCTTCGATATCTAGTTATTCGGAAGTTAATTGGACGCAGATAGTTAACAAAATCGTTTTATCCGTGTACGATCGAAGTAAAGATCTATCTTCTGTGCAGCTCTTTGATTTGTATCCATGAGGATCTAGAAAAGAAGTGCACCGTGCTTGATTATTAGAGGCCGCCGTGGCGCGCGTAATAATATTAATATTAATTAACGGAGTGATTTACTTGATTGCGGACACCTCCTGGGAGAGCAGAACATCATCATTTAGAGCTAATTTGTTGGAATGCAATCTGATTTCGATCCCCTCCCGCAGAGAAACATGGGAAGAATCAAATCATAAATGTATATCTCAATATATCAAATGAATACCATTCTAATTAAAAAGCGAGAAACTCTAAAGTAGAGTTACTGTAAGCGAAAAGCAAGGAACGGAGTACCAATTGCTGCTACGAAAAGTTATCAATAATCTAGCAACCGTGACACCTTTTTTTGTTTTTAGTGATATCTAGGAAGCCGTTTTGTTCGCATACGTAAATGTTGATTATCTTATATTCAAATTTTGAAACAGGAAAAAGGTTTCGTTTAATTACATTTTAGTACAAAATTGAATACAACTTTTTGTAGTTGTTGCTAGAATGAAACCATCAGATAGTTAAGTTCATAATGTAAATAAGTTATTTTAAAGTAATTTGGAAACATACTAATAATAATTTTGTAATAATATGTTTATAAATTTCATTTTACATTAAATTAGATGTAATTTTACATGACTAATTTTCAAATCATTCTCTTGCATCGACCAACACCATTTTGTTTTATGTATAATAGTAATATATAATATAATACACTAGTTATTGAAAGTCTTAAAATAAGTAAAATCAAATCCGATAATAAGTTTTCCTAGTAGCAATTATAAAAGGATTTGTGTGAATATCAGTTGCCCCAAAAATGTATTTGTAGAATTCTGCTGCTTGCATATTTAAGTTTTGGTTAGATTTATGGCTAAGCAGTAAAATAGGTAATAAAGAAGGAAACATTCTTTGTAACATTTAATATCCTCAGTTGTCTCGCTCGCTCCAACTAATACGACATTATTACATATTTTTTTTGTTAAATTTATATATTTTCTTTTTATTACGTTGGCTACTGTTTGCGATGATCATTAATTCGTGTGAGCGGCCACCTCGAAAATTAGCCGTGGAAGTCAAAGGAAAAGTCCGAGAGCAAAGCAATTTCAAATTTCATGGACGCAATTATTAATTCGATACATTGTTATGTTATTATATTTCTTTCGCATCCGAGTTGTTCATCTTCTGTTCTGTTCTTTGTCCGTTCGACGTGCATTGGACACGCACAGGGATTTATTAAAGAAAATCCAGATTCAATCGAAATGTTTACATTGTTGCCATTTGTTGTGCGCTTATCATCTGTCAATAGAGAATTAGAGCCACCTGCCTGCCGGTGATGTTTCTTTATTACAAAGGAACACATATGTATGTGTTGATCTCGTTGTTCCCGGGTGCGCTGAATATTAATGGAGAATTTGTTAATTTCAGCATAATAAAGGTGAAACGCAAATGCTCTCAGCACCAGCATGAAGTTCTTCATAAAAATGAAACAATTAATGTAGTTTCTTCATCAACGAGGAATAATACTTAGAATGAAAATAAATTTATAACAAAAAACAAAAGAACAAAAACTTAATGAGTGCCCGCTTGGTTCTGCGTCACTTCCTCGCATCGGACAAATTTCGTATTCTGTTTGTAAATAATTATTCAAAGCAAAAAAAAGGATCTCAAAATGCATTACAGGGAAACCGAAAATAATCATCAATTTTAATGATCGTTGAATTATTCGCGGCTGGAGAATTGGACATGGAATGCTGGTAGCTGCACGTCAATCAAAAAGTTAAGACCAACTTAACAAAAAAATATACAGAGAAAGAGAGAGAAAGATCAGAAATGGGAATTAGATGAAAATTATATGAAACGAAATTGCTGAGTGAAATGGGAATGTAATGATATCGCGCGTACTGCGGACGAGAAACCGGCATAAATTAATAATTTTACAACTTCCGACGGCTCCAAGACCGCGCCGCCGCTCCCATTTCTAGGTTACTTCCTTTTCGAAATTTATACCCGTTATTATTCACTTCTCTTCTTGTCTTTTGTCTCCTATTTTTATTAGTGTGCACAGAAAGGAAGCCGGAGGAATATAACCGTCCGTTGAGCGAGGCTGTCATCTCGATACGCCATCTGTGACTCATTTTTTCGAAGTTCTGTCCCAAAATTTGATATTTTAATATTTACTTGAAAGCGACTATTTTAACAGAATTAGCGGATACAGAGGCGCCGCGAGGACGGGGGCGGTGGATCCGGGTCGGGTCACTTCTATGTATGTGTGTGTCTGTAACAAAACGCCCGCCGATGGCTCGTTAGTGGATCAGGTCGAATGTCAAAGGTTTTGAGTTCTCTATAATTAGTTGGAACAGACGTGCAGCTAGCGACCAGAGCCTCTGCCGCTGCCGCCGCCCCCAGAATCCAACCCCCGACGCGCGTATAATTCAAAGCGCCCTGTATCGCTTTTACAAATTTATATTAGTCTCGTATTGTGTTCGAAAACCGCCCCCGCCGAAAGTGACAAATTGCCCCCTAATAAAGCTTGAACCCCTCCAATCCGTCAGCCAAATAAGAGTGCGCGCGCGCCAATAATTTTTAAACCCTAATACGTAATAGCAACCGGAGCCACCCTCGCTCGTTACGCAATTCAATTCTTTGCATTATCTAGTTACGCTTGATTCGATAACATTAATATGTCAATTTGATAAATAAGCTCATACACTAACCGCCTATTAGCCTAACTTCAAATTCATTAATTCGATTATTAACTCTAAACACGTCCAATCTATAGCCTAATATCACAACCTATCTTTGTATTAATTCCAATTGACAATTAAACATCGTCATTTCAACATATAAACAATATCTGTATAATCTATTTTTGAATTATTCGTGTATTCACCTCTTATTGACATGGATAGATGAAGAGAACAAAAAATTGTAATGCAAACCTGCACTAATTGCTCATTCAGATTTAATTGCCCGATTATTCCAGTTAATGTCACTTCAACGTTTACACACATCATCCATTCAGTATATAAAAATAATAGACCGTATTACACTAATTGAATTGCGTAATAGCTTCTGACGTTGTAACGTTCATAGATGTCGCTTAAAAATGACACGTGTCAAAGTGAATCTTCAAAGAATTTAATTTATTTAAATTAAATACATTTTATTGCATTCCATTTATTGGATTTATTCAATTAATTAAGTTGATTAGTTAGTGAATTTCTGATAAATGATTTTAAATGCATACATTGTTTATTGCTTCTCAACATAATAGTATAAACCTAATTATAATTATATAATGTAACTCTTAAAATATATTGTAGTGCTAGTAGAATATGCAAACAAATAGTTAACACAGGACAATATAAACGATTGAAATAGATTTTTCTTAGTTTGGCATCGATTGGTTTGCGTAGATGAGAGTGGATTTAAATGAATGCACGCATAAAGAACTTCGCTAATTGACCATAACT